TGCACGTGCGACGAATGAATTCGATACATCGTACGGACTCACTGCGGCTTCCACAGGCGTCGTGAGACCCACCACATCGAGATGGTAGCGGCCTGTGGATGCTCGTGGACGCATGAGGCTCGCGAGACTGTCGCTCAACGGTCTTGGGGCGAAAGGGTAGCTGCTCATCGATTCTTGAAGGCGACTTGTGAACCAGCGAGCAAATTTCGTTCTGAAGTATCACGTGGCGTTGATAGAGCTGGGCCGTGGGAATCCCTGATGGCGTGAGAATTGCCCAGCAGATCCAGAGATTTGGAGATCGTAATCGTACAGGAAGGATAATTCCTGCAAACAACTTGCATTCTCTATGCAACAAACCGGTATCCACCGGTAAATATGTGGCTTAGTCCTGGCTGTTTACCGACAGCCATCATTGTGACTAAACGTGACCAAACCGAGCGACTAGTTCGGTACGAAACAGTCTTCAAGCGAGGATGCAATTCATGTACTACTTTATAGTTTATAAACATTGCTAACCATGGATGGCAATGAACGACCGCGACGGCAACCTTATCTGTGTTTACAGGGCACTTAATAATAGTACCAATTTAGTACTTGTGTACTAAGTACTAAGTACTCTGGATTCCAGAGTTTGAATTGTCGCTCTATGTCGACGGGTTTTGTGCGAGACACAGTCCATAAACTCGCACGGGGCATTAGGGGACGGTGTCTGCACATAGCTGCAGCTGTGTACCACCGTTGATGTGTACGTACCGTCCAAAATTTCTCTTTTCCAAAGGATGGCTTCGTAGTTGATAATGTCTGCGCTTGATCTCTCAATACGCAGCTTCAACTGCCTCACAAAGAGCACAGCTTATTGTATCCAGTTTTGGATGCATGCACTTGAAAAACATGTCAGTTTGGGACGACCTCCTGACCACAGGATACGAGATGAGTGGAATCAGCTTGCGAGGTTGGGGGAGTCGGTTGAAACTTGACGACAAGAAGATTGTTCGATTAGCGTTCGTAATCGTCTTGGACAAGCAATCGTCAGTCGGCCACCAATCTATCCTCCACCTTTGCAACTGACAGTGTGCGCGTGTGGACGTTGTGGTTTCTATACTATATGAGCGTAATGTAGCAGCAAAAATGACCGCAAGGGTGATAGCATCCGAGTCTCCATCGAGCCGAATCTGATAGATGTACATAGGTGTGGCTGTCTGTTGTCGTATTTTGCTTCGTACCTACACCACGAGCGGTAAAAGTGCGGTCAGATCACGCGTTGTCTGTGTTATGATTGCCAGAGACGCGTTTACGTGGTGCCGCTCGTAAACTGCGACGTGCGTAATCTCTGTGTGATTGTTATAACCGGTTTACCGGTAGAAAATTGTTAGGTTTCGGGTTCTATCGCTCCGGATTTCTAAAGACCGTTATACTATTTACATTTATTAATTTTACTAATTGCTACTATTAATTGCTACTATTAATACTTTGTACAGTAAGACGCGCTCGTATATCGTGATGTCCTGTTGTACTTGATAGAATGTGATTCCACCAAACTGGTAGACTTGTAAGATCCCTTTATAATACTATCTAACGTGAAAGTTGATCCAATGTGATGATGAGACCTTGGTGTATCGTCAGATATTTCCATAAATTTCCAGATCTAAAATATTTAAGTTTGAATGCCACTAAACTCCAGGAGTGTGCACCACATCAACAGTCTTAACCTGATTAACTTGCTATACTTAATCAAAAGTTGTTCCACGAGATGTATTAGATAAGAGAGGTTATTTAATAATATGTACATTACTAAAGTAGTCTGAAATCTTGCAGGTTGAAAGTAGCAGGTAAAACCGATGC